CTCACAGCAAGATCGCTTTACTTTTCTATACAGGTCTCTCTCTCAATATGATGAAATAGTCCTTTTCAAGAACAACTTTTCTTCTCCGTGTTCGAGAATCACAGCAAGCACAGTAAGCCAAATCCCCATCTTCTCCTTACTGTTCTGTGATCTTTAGGTCTCCATTTTTCTTCTTACATCTCCTCACCCTCCTGCTCTGTTTTTTACCCAGTGCAAGATACTAAAACTTCATGCTAACAGCCTAAAACTAAACATGGCGGCCGCCCTATCTTGTTTTAAATTGTTTCTTAAATACTACATAGTACGTCATCACAGAGGTGTAACCAAACTGTGCAATTGGCCCAGGCCTGATGGTCAGCCTGTCCATCAACCCAGAGCCATGATGGATTGGTTCTACACACAGGAGGCAGGGCTCCTTTTGCTGGAGAAGAAGGAGAAGGCTTCTAGAACTTCCTCACAGGAGCCATCTTTGTGGTTTTCTCGGTCCCATCCCCCCACCACCAAAAAATCAGACCAAGTGAAACCATGACACTTCTACATATTAATTATTGTAATTATTTATATTTAACATTTCAATTATTTTATTTTTTGTTCTAATTATTTTCTCTTCTAGATTTCAATTATTTATATTTATTATGTTACTTATTATCTATTTTTATTCTAATTATTTTCTAGATTCTGATTATTTGATTTTTTCTTTTATATCCAAATTATTTTATCTTCTCTAAACTAATTTTCTCTTCTAAATGCTAATTATTTATATTGAATATTTTTATTATTTTCCCTTTTTTCAAATTATTTTTTCTTCTTAATTCTTATTTACTATTTAATATTTTAATTATTCTCCATTGTTATTACTTTATTTCCAAATTGTAATCATTCTTGTTCAATACTTTGATTATTACCCATTTTTATTCTAATTATTTTATATTTAACATTCCAATTCTTTTATCCCTGATATTCCTATAATTTTCTTTTCTATCCAAACTATTTTCTCTTTTCTATCCCAGTTATTCCCTTTTTAATTTTACAATCATTTCCCTGTTCCTATTATTCTGATTGTCCCATCCCAAAGGATGGAGGTTGGGAATAGGGGACAAATCCCAGACATTCCAAAGGTTCCATTTGTGACACACCCGGATCCAAAGGGCAGCAGGAAACAATTCCAAATCCTCGGTATCTGGGCAGGGCAGCTCCTTTGCCAGGCTGGTTTTCCCACAACTCAGAAAACATTGGGAATGGGAGGTGGAGAACCCCAAATGGGAGTGGATTTCCCACCAGGATGACTCGGAATTAAAATCAGAAATACACAACACAGAGACCAGGTGGGAACACATGGATATGGGAAAACTGTGGAATTCAGGGCTTTAAAGTTCCAAAATGTCCACGTTTGTGTATCCATACACCAGTTTTATTTCTGGATTAGGGAGAGGGAGGGAGTCAGGGTGGGCAGGGAGATGGAAATAATTTGCTTTATGACATTTCCACCCCACAGTATTAATTAGTGTCTAATTGGGGCTCAAATCCAGTCCAATTAAAGGTGGGATGGATTCTGTGTTGGAAAACATGGGACGCCACACCTGCATGTAAAATGTGGGGTTTTCTGGTGATCCCAGGAGGCATCAAACACAACCAGGACCCCAAACCCAAAATATCTGGAGCCGTTTCCATCCCATTTTTGATTCATTTCTGGTTTATGTTCGTCAAAATAAAGATTAAAACTATATAAAAAAAGGCTAAAAATTAATTTTAAAGAGGAAAAAGAAAATTCTGTGGAAATATTAACCAACATTCCCATGGCTGATTCCATTAATAAGGTCAAAATTCCAATTATAGATCAGATTTAGGCATAAGAAGGTTGTTACATTCATTACAATAAGGTCGCAAATTAACTAAAATCTTAGTGATATTACCAACTGGAATTCAATCATTTTGCCACAAACAGCTCTAAATATTTTTCCCAACAA